AGATTAAGAGTCTGGTGCTCTACCGACTGAGCTAACCGGGCTGTGACTACATAATAATTGCTGTTGCATCTGAATTCAATTTAAAAACCACAGTAATAAAATATTTTATTGCAGTATATGGCAGCGGACTTAAGGACTTTGTTCGGGATACCATGGCTCTTTGATGGGTTCTCCTTTCGATATATGCAGACGAGCAGTACTGAAACATGCACCAGCTGCATAAAAAAATGGTCGCACAGCGTAAATAGCTATCATGGCAGTAAGTTGGAAGACAAGAGCAAGACCCATGCGGGTTAAGCGCATAAGGGGCTAAAGATGATTATGTATTTAGTAAATAAAATCAAGTCCACACTCACCCTTCCAATCCATATGGCCATGAACGTTACAAAAGCAAAAATCAAGCCAAAGATGAAAGCAATAGGGATACCGAGGATTAAAGTCAGTATTTTATAAGTGTAAATACGTGTTAATTCGAAAGCCTATAAAAACAGCGTGATTGTAGAAGATTCAAATAATTGTACTCGAAAGCTGTTAGTCCATACACAGGCTATGCTGTGATAGTCGGCACCAGGTTCAGCATATATTTCGGCAAATGAAAGCTGAATTTAATGAATGGTGTATGGGCAAGATAATAAGATGTTACCTTTAGTGGCTCGTTTATCTTATATCCATCACGATCATCGATGTTTATCATAGTCTCCAGGACTTCATTTCCACGTTCAAAACTGAAAACAAGTTTTTGCCTCAACTCATTGTGTATCTTATATGTTTGACTAAAGACCAAAAAGAATGTTGAAACTGATAAAAAAAGACGTTATCAATTGTGAAAAAACATCAATTTAAACACAAACAGCTATGTCAATTATGATTTTCTTTTTTTCCTAATTGTTGTTGAAAGTTTAAATCTCAACTTTCAATTAAACTTACTTGAGATCGAATTGAGTTTGCGGATTGGCAGGCGAAGCTGTGGGAGGAGCTGGAGCTGACGGTGTTGCTGGGGCTCTTTCCGGTTGTGGCGGTGCATGAGTTGTCTGAATTGATACAGTTAAAACAGTATCATTCGAAGGTTTCGTTTGATTTGTGAAGTGTATAAATCAAACTACAACTTACCTTGCCCGAAGTGGGAGACGACTGTTCTGGAGTTGACCTGTAAGGTGATTATGAAGCAAACAAAACAAAAAATAAAAAGTACTTGGGATTGTCGACGATTTCATACTTTTCGTCATCACCTAGACTGGAGCTGCGGCTCATTATGAATATATTTGTGAAACCAAATGTGTATAAACTAAGTAGCGAAGAAACAGAGAAGCAATGTCAGATGGAATGCTAGTTGCCTATCTTACATTTAATGATTCAGATAAGAACAAAGCCAAACACCCTCACAACTTGAAATGGAGTTTACATCGTTCTTTCCTCTCCTACAACCGTTTATCAAGTTTCACTTCAACATTTTTTCAGTGGTGTTATCGCTGTAAGTTTCTTATAGTTATGGCTATTTCGCCCACACACTAAGACTGGCTAAGAACAATGCAACGCTTTATCGAATGATTTTTAATCTTTTCTTATAATATTCATAGAAGTTACAAATTTTACTGTTATTTCACGTCATATAATACTTCTTCTACTGATAAATGAAATGTTTTACAATTGAGAAAGCAACCATAAGTCAAATGATAAATTACATCAAATTAATGAGGCAGTGACTGGGGTGGTCAGTCATGCTGGCAATAGCAAAGTAATATCCATGATCTATGAGTCAACAGCTCAATATGGAGCATACCGTCAATTACAGTCTACACAGTCAACAATCTATCACAGAGGATGATCATTAGCACTTTGACGAAACAATGTTTTCATGCGACGACTATCCCACGAATTTTTAAAAAGAAAGCAAAGTGACACCTGAATATCAGTTTCTGTTGATGAGAGATTTCGGCTCTTGCTCTGTTTTCGTATAAGGACCTTATATTCTCCTTTATATAAAATTATATCATTCTAATACAGTTTTATAGTTTTTTTTTCATTTTACTCTCATTCTCTTGTTCTGATTCAAAAAACAATGTTAAGATTCTTTCTTTTTAAATTTTCAAGTATAATTGGTAGCTTGGCAACGAGCTTTCACCTTGTTCGACCATCTCACCCTCTTCTCTCATTCTTTCTTTCTCTCACGATCTCTCTATCTCTCTGTCTCTCTCTCATGTGCTCTTTTCTCTTCATTTTGCTCTCGTTTTCTGTTCTTGCAGGTTTTATAAGGAACACATTAAATATTTGTGAAACTCATATGATAAATAATCATTGGAAAAAGTATTCAATATGCGACTCTTGGCATTTTCCCAATCAAAATCATCGTAATGGACTAATTGTAGTCCCATATATGCAAAGATAGACTTTTGAAATGTTACCTGTTTGTATTAAATGATATTTTGGCCAAAAGAACTTTTTTTATTTCAATCTTTTCTCCGCCATTCTCTTCCGCTCCATTGATTTATCACTCAATTTCGAAGTTTTAACCGTCGATGAAGAGTCTCAAAATCAGAATTTCATTTTTATTTTTCATCCAATTTTTTTTTTCAGTTGAGTTTGTAAATGGAATAACCACTAATTTTCATAATTGTCGTGTCTCTTTTCGAGCATTCCCTTTGCAGCCTGCCTGTCTTAAGTAATTCTCACATTTTTTCTTTTGTTTTCCGCCCGTTTTGCTATTGTGATAATGATATTGCATTTACTGAACGTTCATTAGGTTTCTCTGAAAGTATGGGCAACTGTGATTCGGCTCAGGCTGAGATGTACAAGCGGAATCGAAAGATAAACGCTGTGATAGAAACGGATAGGAAAAAAGAAGATTCTGTTATTCGTTTATTATTACTCGGTAATCGTCACATCATTCAATTGAAACCCTCATACATCTTATTTTCAGGTGCTGGCGACAGTGGAAAGAGTACGATTCTGAAGCAAATGAAGTTGGTTTTCTGGGAATTTTCATACGAATTTATAACATGTTCAGGATTATACATGACAACGGCTTTTCTCAAGAGGATATCAATCTTGGTAGATGTAATATTACCGTGAATTTGATTCAAAGCATGGGATCGTTGCTTGATGGCATGCAAAAGCTGAACATTCCTTATGAATCACCTGAGAATGAGGTAATAACTAGAAGTGTGAAAGCACTCATCTTGTTATGCTCATTAGGTACACGCTCTGTATATTAATAAAGTAATATCGAGTAAAGATGAAGACCAACCACTCTCTGATACAATGTACATGTGAGTTCTCCTTCGTTTTCTCATCTAGTGACCAGAATTCACAATAACTCAAACTGCTTTTCAATTCTCTTACGTAATTGATTCAGAAATAGTGAGAAAACATTCTGAAAAAAAAACCTTCATTTCTGATTCATGTAGAACATCAAAGACTTTCAGAGCAATAAAACGATTATGGAATGACCAAGGAGTCCAGATGGCTTATCAGAAGAGAGATGAGTTCTACTTACACGACTCCGCTAAATAGTCAGATGGATTACATCCTTATGCTTATCTCAAATGAATTATTTAGTTTCTTCGATAATCTTGAACGAATTCATACATCTGATTATGCTCCTACGGAACAGGATCTTCTTCATGTGAGGATGTCAACAATGGGCGTCATTGCTGTCTCTTTTGTGATGAAAAATAAGATTTGGAGGTAACAAGTGAATACTTCTCAGAATCGTTTCCGCTTGTCAGAGTTTTTGATGTTGGCGGTCAAAGATCTCAAAGAAAAAAATGGATTCATTGCTTTGATGACGTGAAGGCTCTCATATACGTAGCTTCACTCAGCGAGTATGACCAGGTCCTTATGGAAGACAACACGACTGTTTGTTTCCTGAAAAGTAGTTATACTAAAGTTCTAATTTAGAATCGCATGCAAGAGTCGTTGCAGCTATTCCGTCAGGTTATAAACAACAAATACTTCATCAATACGTCTGTTATTCTATTTCTGAACAAAAAAGACATTTTCAAGCAAAAGATTGGAGTTTCGAAATCATTGAAGTTAGCTTTCCCCAACTATAACGGTTTGGAGTATGATTAATTGTGTCATTAACCTCTTTTCTACTAGGATCAGAAACGTATGAAGAAGGTTCTACGTATATAGAACGGAAATACTTGGAGGCTAATGCCAATTCTGAAAAATCCATTTACTGTCATCATACATGTGCTACTGATACAGAGCAGGTGAATATTAAATATGTGAAGAACTTCTTCATCACATATTTTTCACACTTTTCAACTTCGTTCACCATCTTTCTTGTGTTGTGATATGTATCTAGAGAGTTTTGGGACTACAATTTCTGTGGTTCACGTGTGCACTATATATATCAGGGCAATAGTTCATCCCGAGAATTTAGGTTCAATTCGTACTGGATAGTGTACTTGACACCATTTTGTCCTCTAAGCTAAAAGGTTGTGGATTTTATTGAGAAGTAGGAATTTGGAAAGAAATTGATCTCCAAGACTGACAGGTTATCTCAATATCTCAAAGTTCTTAGAAACTGAACATATCAAATATATTGTGTCTGTTCCACATACTATTACGGATTGTTCTTGCTCCAAATAAATTAATTTTGAAAGTGCATCTCCGAAAATAAAGTCACGAAGAAACATTTTCACGAGGAAACATTTCCTCGTGAATAGTCATAAGATTTCAAAAAAATATTTTTTAAAATTTTTATTGAGGGACATTTACAATTTTTGAAATCACCTAGTCTGGTTGCGTTTCATATAAAAAGTACAAAACTGATCATAATTTATAACAACTTTTTTTTCACTTAAGCATTCAGTAAAATAATAAAATAGAATAATAATCACTTTATATTGAGACTAAGGGACGACTCTCTGGTTGATTCACTGAGTTAGATGTTATAGCCAGGTTTACTTCTTACTCCTCGAGAAGAAGCCACCTTTCTTCGCCTTTCCTTGTGATCCTTCAGGTAGTGTCTGAGATCGGGAAGCCTCCTCTAGCTGTGACTGACCTGTAGCGACTTGTAATTCAGTTAACCACCGTTGAAGATCGGTCTGAAACGATAGTACATTTAAATAAGAAGATTGTTAAAAAACTGACATCATCAGCACACTGTAAGAGGTACTCGGCTCCAACTGGTAATCGTAAAGACAACACATTCTTTTTCTTGGAATAATCTTGAGCTATGGTGACTGAACAACCAGCTAATGAAAGAGATGGTTCGTTGTGGAACGTGGCTCCTTCATCTCTGTAAACAAAACATACTAAATTCACACAAAGACGAGAAGTAAATTCACCTGTGTTTGGAATCCTTGAAGAATGACAGATCACTTCCTCGAAGAACAGTGTACAACTTCTCCCACGATCGGTTAGCCGACTTGCGATCTAATGCTTCATAGGTGTGTTTTCGTATTAACACTCCTTCGAAGGCATCACCAGATTTGGCTCCTGAAAGATTTTCAATTAGAACGGTACAAGAACAAGAAGTAGTTTTGGACATAGTTGTTCACATCAACAATACTAAACAACAAAGGCGATCTGAAGCAAACTATAGAAAGCGCCGTACCACGAGCATCCTTGGAATCAAATTTAACAGTTCGAGCTAAGCTCATCCTCCAGCCTGACGGTTCCGACGAAATTCGACTACGATCTGAACGACACAACACTAATAACACGACATAGATGAACATGAAAAAAAACTAAAAAATAGATTAAAACAAGCTGAGGGCAGGCCGTGAGACAAGTTAAAATCTGATTTTTCAGGGAAATACAGGATAAAGTCTGACCCAATGTGCTGTTTTTGGCAGCTCCGCTCTCCATGCTACTGAGGGTCATATTGAACTCTGTAAAATCACGACAATGGTACAAACTATATAAAGCATGCTAAATCTCAAGTTTGACGTCCGAATTCAGTTAATTAGCAAAGGAAACGACAGAATTAAGTCATTACACGAGGGAAAACGACTCTAAAATAATCAAAAAAGCAAAATTTACCGTCTTGTTCGGTTCCAAATGTTGTTTCGTGGGGCTGGGACTTAGTAGGGGATCCGACGTGTCCGCGTCGTCGACTCTCTTCGTCTTCGCGTTGTCGTTCTTTTAATTCGTACTGAAACCAACGTGTTTATCAAATCATATAATGTTTTTATGAATATTGAACTAAATGTGCCGAGAAAGCCGGGAAATGACGACAAAACAAACATGACAAAGACCGACTCAAGAGGATCAACACACGATAAAAGATCTTTCCTCAAGTCGGTTCTATGTTGAATAAGATTTGCTGTACACTTCCGGTCCGAGGAAGTAAAAAAATAAAAACATACGGTGGTCAATTTTTCGAGGGCAAGGAATCTTTCTTCTTGAGCATGAGCAGATTTCTCGAAAGCCTCATGCTTCTTGATGAGAGCAATAGTTTCTTCCAAGTTTCTTCCATATTCACGGGATAACAAGTATGGCTCTTGAGCCATAAGCCAGGCTTCGGCCACAGCGGCGTCACGAGCGAATTGATAAACTTCCAAGACTGAAAGGAGATTCTTAGTAATATATTTCTAAAAAGATACTTACTGAGTTGAAGGTATTCCCATCGGTCTTCCCATCGTCTCATCATTTCGGCTCTTTCGGTTGTTAGTTTTATTAATTTCTTTTCAATCTCGGTTGAAGCGTAATGTCTTCTGTTCAGTAGGTCGCGTCCAAGTGAAATACAGTTATTGAAGTTCTCTTCTCGAGCGTCAATTTCTGCCTTCAAGCTCTGGTGATTGTTCATGAGTAATTCAACTCCGCTGACATCCTTTGGACGTTCTTGTGAGCTCATCTCTCTCTTAACCTCATCCATCCAGAGTAATAAATCACGGACCATGTTAATGAAGCGGAACAAGTCGTTAGTATCGTGGAGTCTCGATGTTCGCACATCACAGCTGGCTCGGAGATGTCTCCAAGCCTTGACAACTTCACTTTCTCTTGTTGCGATTTCAACGGCTTTTTCTCCAGCGTATCCATCACGGAGTTCTCCTGCATCTCTTTCAATCTGAGCGACTTGCTCACCAATGGCTTCGATGTCAGTAAGGAAGTTGGCATGCTTACGGGCAAGGGCTCCAACACTGGAAGAGTCGCGTCCAAGTTCTTCAGGCATGCTATGTGTCTTCTCGATGATGCGAGAAAGACAGTCGCGACAATCGTGGAAGAACTTATGAAGAAGGCGGCTGGATTCCAGCATCTGGGCACGAGTGTCGATGAGTTCGAGAAGATTCTCCCAAGCTTCATTGAGACTGTCTTTCCAGAGTGCAATGGTTGGAGCATCAGTGTGTCCAGCATCAATCAACTGAAATATGTGACAATAATGATCATTTAAACCTGAAATAATGCTTACAGCTTCACAACCATCGTTAGCCTTAGCTACACGATCAGCACCAATAACTTCTGTGTCACGAGCAAATTGTTGGAATCGTTCTTGAAGCATTTGTACGTGTTCGTAGTCTTGTCCATTCTCTTGACTTCCAGCAACAACCTTAACGATTTTTATAAAATACTGTTTCTCAACAGAAAACATACCTCCTTATCGGCGATCCATTGGAGTAAGTCATCAATTTCACGATGAAGAGCATAAAGCTCAAGAGTTTCCTCAAGACGCTTTCTGCGCTCCTTGGACAGATCTTGGAGTCCAGCGTATAATTTTTCGATTTGAGCTTGTCGGAGGATGATTTGATCACTCAATGGACTCTTCTCATCAACGAACTTCTGAGCCTTGGTGGACAAGTCACGGATGGTATCAGCGAACTTGTCGATCTCATGTTGAAGACGTTCGTGTTTCTTGATTTGGTTCTTAGTAGAGAATTCATCTTTTCCACGTTCATCTTGCATCATGTAGAGTTCTTGTTCGCTCATCCAAGCCTCGGCCTCTCCACAGTCATAAAGGAATTGGTGAGCCTTTTCGGATTCGGCAAGTCTAAAGTAGAACAATAAGTATGTATAATTAATGATCAAGTGTATAAAATTTAAACCTCTCTCAGAATATTTTAGAAACCAAATTTCTCTTCTATAGAAATAGAATATAGATTTGATACGAAATAATTTCCTATCAGTTCTTGGAAGGTGAGAAGGAAAAGAGAAAACCGGATAAGTTATGATAAGACACAAATCATATCATGTCTTCAAGAGAAACAAAAAAAACAAAAGGCAGTTGTATGACTTTCGATTCCAACTTCTATTTTTTCTCTTAGAAATAAAGAAAATGTGATGAAAATTATAATGACATCGAAAAGAGCAAATAGAATTAGCAGATTTCCATCATCATTATGAAAACTACGCGAGTAAGACGCTTCTTTCAAACAAACTTCTGCTATCTTTTTAACATACCTTGCTTTTCTATCCCTAAGAGAATCCTTCAACTCCTGCCAGGCGTTGTTAAGTTCGGCGATGCGAAGTTGGAAGGCACCAGAGTTTTCATGACCTCCTTCAATCAAAGCACGTCCATTATCACAGATCCTGTTAATCCACAATTCGTGGTTATCAATCTCATTAGCCAATAACTGAGCATTCTTTTGGAGTCTAAAACAAATCGTGAGTTAAATATTCCCATCAAGTTATACCTGTGGCAATCGGGGAGGTTCTCTCCGAGGTGTTGGTTGCGAGAAGCCAAAAGACGGTCTTGAATCCAGTCCAATTCGTCATCAACATCGCGACCGAATTGGAAGGCGGCCTTTTTGCGTTCCAATTGTCTTCTGCGGTCGTCCAAAGGAGCTTGTAATCTCTGGAGCTGTTCTTGGATAGCCAAACGATGAGCACGAATATCTTCCAATTCGTCTGGGTGCATTTCTTCCAACTGTGGTTCCATTTCCATGAGCTGATCAATATGCTGAGCTTTCTTGATCATTTCAGTTTCGATGAGTTGTTGTTTCTGCATGGCAACATTGACGGTAGTCAAGTCAGCAGCAGGATCATCGCGAACCATCTCCTTTTCGAGTTGTGTGGCCCATTCCTTCATGTCAGCAATAGACTGGACATACAATTGTTGACGGTTAGCATCGAACAATTTCTGTCCCTTCTCTTCAGTTGTCTTCTCGAGTTGTTCCCATTGAGTAGCCAATTCGCAGATTTGAGGATCGATAGTTCCTTGGAATTCTGGCTTATCTTCTTCGAGATGGATAGCAGCTTGACGGAGTTGGTCGAGACGTTCCTTGTTGGCTTGCAACTCGCTTTGGAAGGCTTGGTGACGAACGAACTTAGATGTGATAGTCTTAGCATCTCTGTAAGTCTCATCTTGAGCACGGATCATCTTCTCCTCAATCCATTCACGAAGTTCTTCGCAATCGGATAAGAATTGTTGGAGTGATTGAGCATCCTTGAGTTTGGCGAGCATATCCTTAGCCTTATCACGGTTAGCTTCACGTCTTTCTTCGATGTTGCGAGCCTTCTTATGGATCTTATCAGCGGCATAATGTCCATCTAGGCAGAGTTGATCTCCGAACATTCCGACGGCACGGATCTTCTCGTCGTTGGCATCCATAGTAGTCATAAAGTCCTAGATAAACAAAAATATTACAATATGATACAAAGCTAACAAACCTGGAATCTCTTAAGAACATTTTCAGCCTGTTCTAAGCTGCTGGGAACTTCATCCTTGGCCATAAAGTTCTCTTGTTGAGATAGCATAACTTCGGCTTGCTTGGCATCGCGAAGGAACATTTGCAAGTTCAATCCTTGGCTCAACAAATGTTGGCGGTTATTCCACATGGATTGGAGTTCATCCCATCCTTCTTGAAGTCCAACAAGTCTCTGGCGCAAGAACATATACTGAGGATCGGTTTGGTCTTGGGTGACACGATCACCCATAGCACGCATTTTACGGTAATCTTCAGCATATCCATCAATTTCTTCTCTAATGGAAGCATGTTGATTGAGGAGTTGTTCAGCTTCAGCCAGAGATTGTGGCTCATCTTCAGAAGCAACTTGACGTTGAGTAGCAGTGAGCCAGGCTTGGAAGTGATCCAAATCACGGAGGAATCGTTGAAGATCTCCAGCTTCATCAAGCTTAGCTTCGTGCTCGCGAACCTTCTTGTTGAGGATGTCCCAAACCTGAAAGAAACCAGATTAAATAAGATAATAATAAGTTTTGTTCTTACATGGTGAATACGTTTGATATCCTCGCGAATAGCATGAGCTTCGGATGGTCTTTCGCGTTCGATGGAATCGGCTTCCTTGTGAAGAGAATCCAACTTGGCTTGAATGGCTCCCAAATCTCTCTCCATCATGGACAAACGACGTTGGAGTTTCATGACACCAGACAAGTCGTTGGTAAGAGCATCGGAATCTTCCAAAACACGAGTCTTGTCTTCGATCCATGTAACAGTTTCTTGACAATCGATGCGGAATGTTTCCAAGCGGTGAGCCCGGTCCAATTCAGCTCTCTTCTGATCAACCATATCACGAAGCTGAGCCCAACGAGCGTTGAGTTTATTTTGACGGTGAAGAATGTCATCAGAGTTAGGATGATCGACGTGGAGAAGTTGACGAGCCAATTCATTAACCGTAGCAACTTTGGCTTCTTGATTGTTCATATCTTGTTCCAAAGTTTCGAAACGATGCTTCATGATCTCGACTTCTTCCAAGTCTTGTCCAGGTACGAGAGTAGCCAACAGTTTTCCCTTCTCATCGATCCAAGCTTCGACACTATCGGCATCAGCATACAATTTGTACAATGACAATGCATCGATAAGACGTTGCTTGCGAAGCTGAGCAAGGTTCTCCAATTCGGTTTTGCGTTTCAAAGTTGTATCCAAACGCTCACGAATGTCGGGATGCTCACGAGCATCAACTGGAAGAGCCTCAACCTTTTGGTAAAGTTGCTTGATGTGCTCATCGAACACTTGCAGTTCCTCACTAACATCATCGTGTTTACGAAGAAGTAATTGAACGGTTCCTTCATCTTTTCCAACATCATCAGAGCTGACAACTCGAAGAGTGTCGAGGAGATAAGCATCAACATCATCAGCATCAGTGAAGAACTGATAATAGTCAACTCCTCCGGAAAGACGGTTACGGCGTAATACAGCGAGATCCTTCAACTTGGTGATGTATTCTCGAATTTGGTCGAGTCTTGGTGGAATATTATCAGATCCTGGAATGTTGTCTTGAACAAGAGTTTGTCCTTCTCCGTCCAAGTTGCTCAAAGTCTTTTCTAAGATTACCAAATTGTTCTCAGCGTTCTTATGTTTAGCGAGAAGATGGGAAACAGTAACAATGTCTTTGCCAGTATCAGAAGATGAAAGAACTTGCTCTTGCTCCTTGATTCCTTGCTCCAACTCAGCAACATCCCACCAGAATTGGCAAAGTCTACGATTGTCTTCGAGACGATGTTTACGTTGAGCTGCCAATTCAAGCAATTCTTGATAACGGGATTGAAGAATGGAAGAACGTTCTTCAACAACTGATGGTTCAACTGGGAAGTATTTGCTGCCATCAGGACCATCAGGAGATTTGAAGCGTTCAGCTTGGCTGATTGCGCTACGAACACGATCACCAATGATGTTGATGTCAGATTCTAGAAGAGCGTGCTTCTGGAGCAGGTCCTCCACGTCCATGAGATGAACGCCCAAATCATCAGATAACAATCGCGACTTGATGTCGTCCATGAGATCCAAGGTGAGAAGCATATCGTGGAAGACACGCTGGATAGCCATGGAAAGTTCCAAACGGACACGTCGAGCTAACAAAAGTTGAACTAAATAATTCCATAACTGCACAACGTTATCCTTGCGAGTGTTAATATCAGCCATAGCATGGTAGTTTTCTGCTTCAAGCTCTCCGGCAACAGCAATAACAGCTTGAACACGTTCTTCATAAGCATAAATATCAGTTTCGATAGCTTCGTGTTTCTTGGTTGCTGCTTCAACGCTTGCCAAATCAGAACCAAAGTTATCTTGACTGACAAGGCGTTGATTCTCTGTTAACCATGTCTCCCTCATTTCAGCCTTTCTGTTGAAACGGGCAGCGAGTTGCTCGAGTTTTTCTTGTCGAATTAGTTCCTCTTTGAGGGCAAGTTCACGCTCGTGTTCGGCTTTCTCAAGAGCTTCCCAAGCCTAAAACAAGAATATAATCTGCGAAATAATTTAATTTAACGTACTCGGTTGATGTCTCCTATCAGTTTTCCTTCACGTGGAACGTAAGCTCTTTGATTGTTGGCACGCATAGCCGACTGCAATGTGAAAAGAAGAACTTCGAGTTCACCTTTCTCTTCGAACCTAAAAGCAAAAGTATAAGGACAGTTGCGGTAATGCAAGCATACTTAGGTGGTTTTTCCTGAGTTCTGTAATTGTTAAACTCAGTTAATTGCTCCTGAACCCCTTGTAGGGAATTAGAAAAAGTTCGGTCATTGAGTTTTTCAATTGTTTGCTTAATCCAATCCAAAAGATCTGAGGAGATCGTTTCATATTTGTTGATACGCTCTTCGTTTTCCATAAGCTCGTTGATAACTTTTCCAATACGTTTTCCTTGGATGTTCTCATGTTTCATTTTGTTGAAATAGTGATAATATGTGACGACATAGGTAATAATGGATTTCTCGTCAGGCTGATCGACATTAATATCTAAAACCACCAAAATTAATTTCAAAAACGAATTACGAAGCCACCTTCAGCATCCAAGAACTTTGAAAGACCAAGTTGTTGCTCAGCAACGTCAAATGCGTTTTGCAGATTGAAAAGAGCATTAGATTTCTGCAGATTTTCATAATCAACCAAATCGGGCCTATGTTTGTGAATAAGGGCATTGAATGCCAAACCATCACGCCAGCTAGAACAGTAATTTTCAGGAAAATCATACAGATTGATACAAACCTAGTTGTGAAGTTTCTAACGTTGACGTTAGGATAACCAGCAGTTTTCATTTGACACCAGAGAAGAAGTGCTTCCTTGGCGCTTCTTGTCTCATGGTTATCAGCGTCTTCGAAAGTAATATCTTGGATCTGAAGGATATAGATGAGTTCATTAAGCATGTTCTAAATCTTACCTGGAATCGTAGGATGATAGTCCAAATGAGACCTAATGTTAAACGTGGACTGCCATCCACAATATCATGAGAACCCAAATTTTCCAAATGTACATGCTGGTCTCGAAGAAAATTCAATGCCTTCTCTACATTTTCTAAGCAGTGAATACGCATTTTACCTCTGGTAGGTTTAGGCTAGAACATTACATTATGAGATCTGTGATTCAATGACGGAACTAACCAATCGTTCTCCTGACAGAACTTCCAATAATTTAAGTAAGTATTTACCATCTCTCAAATCCATATACAGATCTTGCACCTTGCAACTAACTCTAACCAAGTGAGAGTTGACCCATTTCGTGAACGTTTTCTTCTGAACGTTCTCACGCTCATCTGAAAGAAGATCATAAAGTATCAAACATGGTATTTAATCATCAAAATGAGCACTCTCAAAAACAATATAAACACGACCCTCATAAGCACATATTTCCAGATGTACGCAAAGTTTAGCATATATTCCAACTCGAATTCCACTCTCACCCACGTCAACCGTACAGAGTATTCTCACTTGATACTTCACAACATATTCCTGTCATAAGCTCTTCCTCAACAATAGTCAAAACAGAGAGTCGAGGACACTAATCACACATGAAAGCTCAAACACAAACATATAGTTTGTTTCATTAGCTGTGTTTAGCAATGTTTGCAACAGACAAAGTGCTAGGACTTTTTGCATTACAGGAAACGCTTCGTTTCAGCATTACTCCCCCGCTCATTTTGAACCTCTGACATACAGAGCTATTTCTGAATAATTTCGCCACAGCTCAAAATTGCTTAGTCAGAAGAGGCACCGAACGCTCACGCAATCGTTACCTCCCATTTTCTTATCTCAGGCCTTTTCTAAACAATCAATGTCAGAGGTTCTATATTTCGATGCATTTTCAGCATTGAAGGTTCTGACAGAATAAATGAAGCAAAACGTGGCTTTCTTGGTCTTTTCACAAAGCCCAGAATGTACACAACCAAATGTGGACAAAATTGAACAAAGATTCTCGGAAAAAACGGAGTTTACGATTCGATAAAGTTTGCAAATAGTGTCCTTAAACAATCTTATATAAGGTTTACCTTTCAATCTTCTAATTCTATAATCCATGCTGATACCACCACGACCTATTTCAGGATCCAATATCACGGCTGAGGGTGACAAAGCTCTCTCCGATTTGGAAAGTTCTTTGTTCCCCTTCCGCCGAGCTTCATCAAGTGAAGCAATTGAACCAGGATATAAGCCTGGACTTTTTGGCTCTGACTGAGGTACCACTGTTTTCTCGGTGGAGTGAATAGTTAGTACTTGTCCAAGGTAATTGTCTTTAGTATCATCGTCAGGAATAACTACTTTCGGTATTTCAGCAGAAGTATCAGAAATATCAGCAATAGTATTCTCAGAATGCTCATCAGTATGTGAATTCAATGTAGAAATTCCCTCATTTGAGGTAGAAGGCAGATTAATAGAAGAGGCCTCGTTGGAACTTTGCTGTGAAGAGCCGTTACCATCTTCTTGAGGAGAAGAATTAGTGGTAGGATTCTCAGCAGGTTTGCCACCTTGAGCACGGCGGTTAGACGGTTTCCTTCTCGGCATGAAGAGAGCCAAATGAGACAATCATTCTCCCCTTATCAATTGTATCAGAGTTTGAAAGCGATACGATGAGAAAGCCATGTAAAAATAAAAAAAGAAATTGCGTTACCCGGCACTTAAGATGCCTTTGAAGATTTTCATAACTAAGAGCTTTATTTCAAAATCTATCTCTATTATCGTTAAAACTGCAGTTTCGAAGTCATCAACATTCTGAAGACCGCCGAAACGAATTTCAAATTGTTTATAGTGTGAATCATCATCGTGGGATGATCATTTTACTAAGAACACGAAAATTTAACTAATTAATGATCGAAACGGAAGATGGAAAGTAGCCGACACGTGTTGTGAACGTGCTGAAACACAACCGTTCTTTGCGTCTGCAATCTCAACAAAGACATGAAGAGTACTACGCCAAAGACCTAATGAGACAACGTATACTCGAATCAAACAAACAAATGCTATAAAGAGAAAGACAGAGAGAGGGGCTGCCCTTTGATTAATAATAAAAAAAGTGATACGAATGGTTGTTTGTACTTCTATTCATTCATGACCATTCTACTAAGGGTTCATATCATTTTCGTTTCCTGTGTTGTGTTTTAGCACAACTCATTCTAGGAACGTCAATACCTATTCAATCATTGACATTGCATTACAAAACTGTATTGAAACATCTTCAGAATTCGAGTCACCTAGTGAAATTAATTGAAATTTCAATTTACTCGGAGCTTTCCATAAAGTTTTAACGCTAATACATTTCATTTTATGGAGCAAGCTGCTGAATAAGAAAATTGACGATGTTGAAGAATTGGAATCTCAATGAATTCTAATTTCACATTCCTCTTAAAATATTGATTTTTCTTCTATTCAAGTGTCATTTGTTTATTTCGGTGGCCGAATTAACACTCATACACAAAAAAAAAGAAAAAGAGGAATTGCAGAACTTTTCGAGAGCACTTCCAGTCTTCAGAAGCGGTTTTTCACTAATTAACCAATCTACAAAACCCAAAACTAAGTGTCTCCAAAGACTGAATACGTTGTATCTTTCAAATGAGTCTGGCGCAATAGCAAACCAAATTAAAATTCTATAGAATAGCCATTGGGGAATACATTACGAAACAGAATCTGAGCACAAAAAAGGCCCCATAATCTAACTCACAGAAACACTTCAATTCATATTCGTTATAATAACGGCTATTTAAGGCTATGCATACACATGAAAGGAAAAGCTTGACAAACCTGCAAGGGCCTTGATACGACTTCGCTCGAAAAGGCGAGCAGATGAATTTTCATCGTATTCCTCATCGTTCATACCACCACCGCCATAGTCAGCATGGCCCCTTACAGCGATGTCTGTCATCGCTGACACCTGTAACAGATCAAATGAGATATTTAAAATTAAATGACCAGATCAAAAAAGAAAATCGATATTAATATAATGAATCAGACTAATAAGAGCTTGGAAAAATAAAAAGCTTCAATGGCAGTATGGTGATGACCTTTTAGTCTGTATGGTTTGAGAGATGAGTACCTCATCGAAGGTGGACAAGAAACCTTCGTGTAAGAAGAGACGTCCTAGAGATCTAGAGGAAAGTAAACAGACACCATATAAGAGTAAGGCAGGGGAAGATAAAGCTTTGAGAGTTGGATAGAAGACTCAACGGCTCAGGTGATAATCGAAGGTGAGGCTATGCAAGAAAACGGCAACAACAAATGAAAAATTGATAGAAGTCCTCAGAAGTTTTTGACGGCCTCATAGAAACAAGTCCGTCGTCTGCTCAGAAGAGAAGTATTGCATATTCAACAGACTGTCGTTATATTAGTTCAACTAATATTGTGTAATTAGCTTCTTCAATTCTCGAGAGACTGTACATGCAAGATGCAAAAAAACTGGGAATTTGAAACTATTTTTTGCTGGTCAGAATATTGACGAAGCTCAAAAAGGAATACAAAGGAACAGGAAGCAGATAAATTGCCATTAAAAATGTTGGTGAAGCGAGTGCAGTCACCAAAGCCTTCCCAGCACATTGGGCTCAAAGAGGCTGCTAGAGCCGGAAGGGTTGCACTGAATCGATTGTCTTGCCATGACAAAATCCCTCCCAGAAAACCATAAAAAGAAGAGAAAAAGAAAAATGAAGGAATGAAATAAAATACGTGAAACAACAGAGAAATCAGACAGAGAGAGGGTGAGGGAAGGATGGAAGGAGAAGAGGATTAACTGGACAAGACAAATTGTGTATGTGTATCTGAGCACGATCGCCCGCCAAAGAAATGAAAATGGAACATTTTAAGACAAAAAAATGCTGATGAATAAAAACTATAAGATATAGTTAAATTTGCTGCCATCTTGATCACTTCATTAGAAACTTTATAGTCCTTCACAGTTAATTCAGTTTCATTTGCCTTAAATTGGCTTTTTTTTTCTACTGCCTGAGAAGTATAAAGATGAGAAGAGCTGGTTAACGAACACATTTTAAATAGAACTATAGTGGGGTGAAAGTAATATTCTGATGACAGCCGAATCTGAATTTTCTCTTTTCGGCCATTGGAAATCAATAATGAACACAACACTTGATGAACCAGTACACATTATGAGAAAAATGACAACTAACAGAGATAGGCATTCCAATGGTTTGTGACCAAAAAATGGAAAAAAAGAGACATTCTAGAAAGAGAGAAAGAGAGAAAAAAAGATGAAAGGAGACAGAGAGAGAGAGATAGAAAGATATTCAAAAAAAAGTGAGAGGAGGCGATAGATGAATTTTTCAATAATTCTTATAACTACAAAAAGGTAATACTAATGGTAGGTCAACTGTAGGTCAACTGGTATTACTCTTAAAAACATTGTGTTAGAAGAGAAAACAGACCAGAAAGTTAAATCAAAGAGAGACGAATATTATAAAGATACAAAGTTATAGAGATAGAAAGTAAAAAGGCAATAACAGATGAATAGAGAGAGAGAGAGAGAAAGATGGATAGAAAGAGAGGTGGATGTGAATATCAAAAGGCACGAAACGGACAGTTTCAATAATTCCAACAACTGGAAAGTGTTGACACCTTCTATCATCATCCATATAATGCGTGTCATATTTGATCACTAAGCTTCATCCGCATGTACTTCTTTCTGTTTAAATTAAATCATTTCTAAAGAATAATGATGAAATCATTACTGATCCATGTGTATATTCAAATTGATCGCCATATTAAGCATGTTATTTCGAGAATAACCAATGATAATAAGACAAATCAATTGTATTTATCTGAATGTAGTGCACAGGACATGATGCTCTTTTCAATTTCCCACAAATTGAACAGTTAATCGATTTTCGTTGCCCAAAAAAAGCTTTACTGGTTGGGTAAGCGACTAACTAGCTGGTTGTCTCTATTCATTCAGGGTTGGGTATGTGTCTGGCGTGTTCGTGATGTCTCAATCAGAGAAATAGATTTAAATTGATGAATAAATCTAGGATAAATCATAAAAGGCCGAGGAAGCAACAGAAAACGAGTTATGAAAAATAAAGACGCAAAAACCTCTACCATCTCATATTTGATGTGTTATAAACAATTTTTAAAAACAAAAACTAAGATATAAAGCTATAATAAGATGATGATGACGGGCTGCAAGGCAGAAGGAAGTTTTCTTCAGAGGTCAGTGAAGCCACAATAAATAGCCAAAGATGGACAAGACAGATATCAACAAGTCCATATAAACTATAGTCTAGCGTCAAAAAGTTACATGAGGAGAACATTAAGAACGATGGATCAATTTGATCATGTTGCCTCATATAGCGTTTGTTTGAAGAAGGAATGCAGAGCAAGCTGGATAGACATAGACGCAAAGCTTCTAGCCTTTTCCCCCCTCTTTCTATCTCCCTCTCTCTCTTTCCTCTTTCTCTAGTAATAGAGGGGAGGGAAAAAGACATTCGCTTATACTGAATCGATCCACGCCAACGATTGGAAGCTGTTGGAGAAAAAGCGAACAAGCTGGGCAAGCTTCAGTGGCCATCTTTGCCTTATAACTGAGTAAAATAGTAGATAAACGGAGACATCTTTTCTTTCTTTCTTTTTTTAAAATAAAAGTCCAAAGTGTTGTAATTTATGAGGGAACAATTGATGTTAAATAGAATAGTCAGAGAAGAAGAAGATGATAAGCAAGTAGTAAGAGAAGAAGATGACAGGAAGTTACAAAAGTGTTTGTAGCAAGGTAGGTTTCGGAACAAACATAAAGAGAAGTGAATGAGAAAGAAAACACCAAAAAAACGTTTCAATTAAAATGAAACAATCCATACATGTCATTTTGCAAAGAAATCAATATCATCATCAATGTTCTCAAATTTGTGACATATCAAAGTGTTATAATCATTTAGCAAACTTGAAAAGAAATCCATCATTGAGAGAGATAAAATATGAAGAAATAGATGAATGTATTTGGGAAGGAAGTGAGAAGGAAGGAGGATGGAGAGGAAGAGGCTACGAGATGTGAATGTAAATGATAACCCATATACATCATGTATAGACAAAAAATCTGTTGTAGTTGTTAAGTTTATTTTGATTAGTTGGAAAAGATTTTTTCATAGCTAAATTTCCAAATTCAGAACATAAGAGAAGATGATGCGACGTATTTCAATCATTTAACAATATTATGTAGTTATGTATTGAATGATGAACAACATCACTAATTTGGATGGATTGCTAATCATCATGTAATTATGTTGTTTAATAGATTGTTTAGCAAAAATTAGGAAGACAATCTATAGAAAAATAAGGACAACTTTATGTAGATAGATGGATAGAAATAATGAGAGAGCTAGTGCAGATTATATGGGAAAGATATTGTCTTTAAAGAGAATGAGAGAGGAAAATAAAATGTCGCCAGGCCTATACAGCAGAAGCATCAGCAGCCAGATGGCATTCACAGAGAGTGTATGACAGGCACATTTTCAAGTGACGTCTGTGCATTTAATCCACGTTTTGGGAAACAAGAATAGCCTGTATAAGCTGATGAAGCTGTGGTAATTTGAATGACAACAACTCTGATTGAAAAAGCGATATGATGATAGATTCATAAAGGATAGTCACAATATGAAGCATGCATACATATAGCTCGTTGCATCTTGATTAAAAACCAAAAAGATAAAAGGTCACTGAGTTGAACGGAATATCAAAAAAATTAAGTTAGAAGAAGAAGATAATTGGAGGAAGGAAATATGTGAGATGAAATGTGATACCAATTGATGAACTGATTTGACTGCAAAGGCCATCAACAGAATAAGATAAGCAGAAAATGAAGATGAAAAGCCTAAGAAATAGAAGCAGAAGCAGGACGAGCAGCAGAAGCAGCAATTGCTTCTTGCAAAATGCTAACATCTCTGTATTTAACATACTATATCGTTTATTCTCTTCAGTTGTCTTCGTGTCCTCTTTTCTATCTCTTCTCTCATAGATAGTTGATGTCCGGCTTCTTCTGATCGCCAGAGCTCAACGCTAGCTAGCCAGCCATTCAGCTGTTAAAAGCTAAGCGAAAGGCTGGTTCTAACTTTGTTGCCTCTCATCTTCTGTTCTCTCATTTATTCTCTTTATCTTTAGCTCACTACACATTTTCTTCTGGCTGTCTTCATCTAAGACACACGCCGGTTCCCTCATTCCATCTCTATTCTGCTTCTTTTTCTTCATTTCCTCTTCTCTCAGCAAGCCGCACCACAAAATCGATTCTATCTTAGCCGTCTGCAGTTTCTTTTTCTCGTACATAAACTGAATGCGCTCTTCCCTCATTTTTTCGCTTTAGGCTATTGCTTTTGCCTTACTTTCTGATGTTCTTACTCTCTCCCCTTTGCACTCTATCTCATTCTTACTTTTTTTTTCTCTAAGCCTTCTCCATCTTACCTCCCACTCCTTCTATTTCTCTTCTCTTCGCTCTGTCTTTCATCCTTTTTTTGTCATTGCCTCTCATCATTCGAATTCTATATTTTCTAAATAATCCATTCTTTCTGTCCTTTCCATGATGCCCCAAAGGCAACAAAAAAATAGAAAAAAAAGAAAATAAAAGAAAACTGCAAATAAACAACTGGAAAAGAAGATTTGTAAGCGTCAGTCCAAGTATTAGGCGCATTACTTAAAAAGTGAAAGAAAAAAGAATAGAAAGTTCAGTTACAAACGTCAACATTTGTCACTTTTTCAAACGTTTACTAAAGATATACCAACGTTGAAGAGCTGAATGGATTTAGTTTCAATGGAGGATAAATCGGAGAAGTGGTTAAGAAAACTTCTGGCAATACTGACAGTGTTGGAAGCGAAAATGGGTGAAACATTGAGAGAAAGCCAATTTTGAGGAGAAAAAAACGAAACGAAGACGCAAACAAT